TTCCATTTCTCTGTTGATACTGCAGGACTGATGGAAAACGTACACTCATGAGTGCTTGCTAACGTGAACAGCTCTTCTTTCCCCACTGAAATTCTTTTGATCCAGGGCACTACACAGAGAAGAGTGGTGGCAAGAAGCTTTCAAAAGCTTTGCAATTTTTGATATTAAAGCACAAATACACATGCAGAGCCCCATTATACCAACCACTGCTACTGCAGGTCGAGAGATTTAAAAAAAAAAAAAAACACGCTCTCACATAGGCAAATATGCATGCATATATATATAATATCACATGTATACATGTACAGATATAGACAAGGAAAAGTTGGCAAAATGCCCTACCTGAGGATGGCTGTATCCCCCTGCCTCACGGTGATGTTATCGGTGCCTCGGGTAAAATCCACGCTGCGGACTGGCAGCCCTGTAGGGAGAAGGCAAAGCAATCTCAGTAGGACCAGTGGTAATTGCTTCCGATCAGGCTGAGCCCTTGCTACCATGGCTGGTCTTGTTGAGTTTCTCTGTCAGTACTTGTCTCTCTCTGGACACGTATATATGGATGGACAGATGTAGAAAGAACAACAACAATAATAATAACGTGCAACTCTGATCGACAGCCCCGGAAAGGGGAGGTGATTTCACAGTCCTTCTTAGCTGCCACTTTCTCTTGCTCTTTTCAGTCTCTTGTTGGCTTCTTTCCCCCTCAACCCCTTTCCTTTCCTTAAGGCTTTCTGAAAAAGTCTTAGCACAGCCTTCAGTCAAAAAAGAAAAAAAAAAAAAGAGGAACGTGTGTATATGAAAGGTAGATCAAAACGACAAAGCAAGAGGAAAAAGTCAGGTAGCAAAGTAATAATAATAATAAAAAAAAAAAATAAATCAACCCAGAGCGATGGAGAGAGGTGAAAAAACGGAAAAGGAAAAGACAGGAGTCCTGTGTTCCCGCGCCGCGCGCGCAGGCGGGCGGTCCTGCTCCAGTGCGTGGCTGTGCAGTCTCTGAGCACCGAGCTCCCTTCCTAACCCACTTTCCCAGGCGGAGCGAGGGAGGGAGGAAGGGAGGGAGGGAGGGAGGGA